TGGACGACTTAGTTTAAAGTCGTCTGGGCAGACGACTTGCGAGGGCTAAAAACGTCAAAAAAAAACTCTTTTTTTGTTTGTTCACAAGGGGTTGGTTGTAATTTCAACAGCCTTTTAAGTTACTTTTGCATTTGATTCAAGTTTGGGTTTACTTTTGCATTTCAAATCAAGTTTTGAGTCATATTTGGCAATTTTCCCCATAAGCAAACCAGCTGTCAGTATAGTATAATGATAGTAGTATTCGTTTAATTACTTTATTCCAGGGAAGTGATTAACAACTGATTAAACCCATCATTTTCCGTCCTTCTTTGTTTTGCAACTTCCCCTTGGACAACATCTTGTCCAATAGTTGAAATATTCCATGGCGGTGAATACTTCTGATTTTTTTTTTCTTAATTCTTCATAAAACTCTTCATAGTATTACTAATCCGAATCTATAAAAAGAGATGCTAACTAATACTAGTAACTATAAAAATTCTAACATATAATAGTAATATTTTAAAAGGTCAACTAGCCTTATTGCATTATCATTAACAAGAGTAATACTTTTGATTTAAAAAAAAAACAATAGAAATGTTCTGACCCAACAAAAAATGAAACAATATTATCGTCACGCAATAGATCGAGCTTAGTCTATGTAGCAATATTTGACTAAAATAAAACATATAAGTTGTGCTACCAACTGGTATCTGAGATTTGCATTTTATGCCCATTGGTTTGTATATTTATCCATTAACTAGTTGCATTATTTTTAATAAAATCACATTTTAGTGTTTACTGAAATTTTTTGATAATTTTTCTTTAGTATCTTCAACAGATGTTAATCGTTAATCCATTACTCAGCTACAAATTTATCAATCTCGTTAGTCGTTACCCAAGTAAGGAAAAATACTAACCAAATTGTTTTCTGCCAACCAGTTCAAAACGTCTTTCCTTTAAAGTACCATTCAATCTATACATTAACTTCATTTATAAACAGCATCCATTCGATTATCAATTATCTACTACTTAAAACGAAGGTTGCTTCTCTTACAAGTAAGAAAACAATGAAATATGTATAATACAGACATATATGTTCAATGGACCGACTCGTCGAAACCATAATGCGACTAATTATTATTTCATGATTAACTATATCAACTTATAATAATATAACTCCCATAAATGTCGGCGTCGTGTGCCGGACTTGCTCGTTCCAATTCTTATTCCCAAGACTTTTTTGGCCTATATATACAAACCCTTTAACACCAAATTCAAAAACACACAACAAACAATAACAAAGCTCAAATATTTTCTTATACAGTTCTGGAAAACAATACAATAATGGGTCGCGGTTACGATTTATTATTTATTCTAGTAACGTTTTTAGCATTGGTTGCAGCCGTAACTTCACAAGGAAATCGTGGTTCCAACCGTGGTCGAAGACCTCGGGTTGGGTTTTATGGGAACAGATGCCGAAACGTAGAGTCCATTGTGGCGTCGGTGGTTCGACAACATGTCCGGTCCAACCCGGCTAATGCCCCCGGGATTTTGCGTATGCATTTTCATGACTGCTTTGTTCGTGGCTGTGATGGTTCAGTTCTTCTCGCTGGTAACACCAGCGAGAGAACCGCCGGTCCAAACCGTTCATTGAGAGGGTTTGAAGCTATTGAAGAAGCTAAGGCTAGGCTTGAGGCTGCTTGTCCTAGAACTGTTTCTTGTGCGGATATTCTCACCCTTGCTGCACGCGAAGCCGTTGTTTTGGTAAACATTTATATATTATTTATTTTGGTTTAAATTGTTACACGCACGTATAAACTTATAGTATCTAATATATTGTGTGTAATGGAAATGCAGACCGGTGGACAAGGATGGCGAGTGCCATTGGGACGTCTTGACGGCCGAATCTCGCAAGCCTCGGACGTGAACTTACCTGGACCATTCGACCCGGTCGACAAGCAGAAGCGAGACTTCGCTGATAAAACTCTCAACACAATAGACCTCGTAACTCTTGTTGGTATGTGTTCATTACATTCATCGAGTATATATAAAAACGGTCATTACTAGCTAATATATAATGCTAATATTACGAATTTTGGTTTGACTAGCCGGACACACAATAGGAACTGCTGGTTGCGGTTTGGTAAGAGGCAGGTTCTTTAACTTCAACGGCACAGGAAGACCCGACCCATCTATTGATCCGAGATTCGTACCATTGGTTCAGGCTCGATGCCCTCAAAATGGAGACGCATCAGCCCGAGTGGAGTTAGACACCGGTAGTGGTGGTAGGTTTGACATATCGTTCCTCAGGAACGTGAGGTCAAGCCGTGTGGTTCTCCAATCTGATTTAGTCTTATGGAGGGATCGCGAGACCCGAGCCATCATAGAACGGTTTTTAGGCTTGCGCCGACCATTCTTGAGGTTTGGAACAGAGTTTGGGAAGTCGATGGTCAAGATGAGTCTTATAGATGTTAAGACAGGGTCAGATGGGGAGATTCGTAGGGTTTGCTCTGCGATCAACTGATTAAGAATATGAAAGCACAACAGTGTGGTTTGGTTTTGATTTATGATGGTTAATCAATAATCATTTTGTTTTATACAATAATTAAGTTTTCTATATCATCTTGTGGTTTGGTTGTTACGTTATGAATATTCAAGTGTAAGATTGTAATTGTAACATTAATGTATGATACTATAAGATTGTCATCTGTTTCTTTACTCGAGCACGGAAGGTATTTGCATGAACAAACTATTTAAAGAAGAAAATGTTTGATTACGTCAGATGAATGGAAACGAAGCTCAGTAATGATTATCTGTTCGTAATTAAATATGATTATTCAAACCATTCGATGATTATATATTATATGGTTTGTCAATGCATGGATTCGATAAGTTATACTTTTTGTGGATGGATTCCGGCAAAGTTGCAATCGCTAATCATTATCCAGGGTTTAGTTGGAAAACGACTTTCTAATAAGTAGTGTTTTTAAACACACATATAAAGGTAGATCTTTAATTGTTTTTTTTTGGAATGTTTGAAGCTCCTCACTACAACGGACAATCTTTTGATCAGTCATGTTATGATCATAGACCATTATTAATTTTAATATTTATTTTTGATGTACAAAAGTATTATCTCATATGTATTGAAGTCAAATTATTTTTTACTGAACAAATAATTATCTGATTCAAAAAATGTACCACCAAATTTGCTATGGGTCTTTTTGCATCTTCAGTTTAGAAAAAGATTATGGAAGTAATGGGGGTGGTTTTGCTTTTATATGTTTCTTCAGTTGCTCATCAAATCTGTTGGACCTTAAAAAAAGTAAGGAACTCTATAGGTCCAAATTACTTGGGCTTCCATCTTACGGCCCAATCAGAATGATGTGATTATAACGCCAAGTTACATGGGTTTCGAATCTGTGATCTTTACACGTCTACCACTCACCAACCGGATTCTTTTATTTTGGGAATAAGATTTGATGCTTTTAACATGCGATGGAAAATCATTCTAGATATAAGTATAGATGCATGTGTTGAGGACCTTGAGGCTTTGAGGTAAAGAGTGAAGCATAAGACATTCATGTCATTTATTGTTCTCTACCTTCCAAATTAATTTTTCGAACAAGAAGGTTTACTATTTAGAGTAATCTTGCAAACTGAATAAGTAACATATTTCTCTGTTTGTTGTATATATATTTAAATTAAAAACAGTATACAGTAAAAGTTCAGTCCTAAAAACTAAAAAGCTAAAACGTTTTTTTAAAAAAAAAGCTAAGATGTTACAAATGGAAACTAAATACATCTACACAAATTTCTGATTCAATCATTATTTTGCATTATGCTTTCAATTAGCATAGTGTTTTTTGAGCAACTCAATTATCATAATGTTTATAAATTGGATTTTTTTGCAAAAACAATATTCTGGTGTTTGTTAATATATTTGTTTGCTCAACAAAGAAAAAGAAAAGATCCAGTTGATATGTTTTCCCATAGTATGAAAGCCAACAATTTTCGTCAAAATAGATCAAATAATTAAAGTTACATAGTACTCGTATAATAAAAGCAACAAAGGCAGGAAAGATGAAATGGCAGGTCTCTTCGTCTCTAGACCCCACCACGATCACGCATCAATACGAAATGCATGACACGTATACAAAACGCCACCGTTTTTCTCGCACCACTCAAAGCAAACCGACATACAAATTTGCCCTTGACCTTTCCTCTTCTTTTTTTCTCTATTTCACTCTTTCTTTCTCCACTGAAACCTCTCTCTCTCTATCTCTCACATCTCACCAAAAACACACACACAAAGACCAAAGAGAGAGAGAGAACCAAAAACCCCAACAATGTCCACTTCCTTCTCCACCGCGACGCCTCTCCTTCTCACCCTCCTCATCCTCTCCATCTCCTCCGTCTCAGTTCTCGGCGCATCTCACCACCACACGGCGGCTCCTGCTCCCGCTGTAGACTGTTCCACTCTCATACTCAACATGGCGGATTGTTTGGAGTTCGTTACGGCAGGAGGAACGGTGTCGAAACCGCCGAGTACGTGTTGCGGAGGGCTTAAGACAGTGCTTAAGGCTGACGCGGAGTGTCTTTGTGAGGCGTTTAAAAGCAGTGCTTCTTTTGGAATCGTCTTGAACATGACTAAGGCTGCTACGCTTCCCACTGCATGCAAGCTTCATGCTCCTTCTATCTCTAACTGTGGATGTAAGATCTATTGTTTTTTTTTTTTGAACTTTTTTTATGTTCTTTAGATCTCTTTTGATTGTGTAGATCTATATTCGTATGCTTAATGTTTGATCAGTTTCTTAGATCCTTCATTTTTTTTTTTAAATTTATTTAATGAATTTATATGTGATTTTGTAACCATTTGAGATTTTTGTTTTGTTTTGTTTGCAGTGTCTGTGACTCCTACTATGGCTCCAGGTATTTTATCTTTATCCTTGTTTTCTTTCATTTATTCTTTGTTTTTTTACTCTTAATTTTTGTCCCATTCAATGTTTTTTCCCCTGTTTTAAATGCCAGCTTAAAATTATTATTAGCCCTTTTGTCATAAAAAAAAACTTAAAATTATTATTTGTTTGTTTGATTTATATATAGAGACAGTCTGGTTGTGTACCTCCGTTGCTAGCTCATGAATTTGTGTGGTTATAAAACCCCTCGATATTTAAAAGTTTTGTCCGACCAAGATTCATTGTCGATTAGTTACCTACATTAGTAACGTTTTGTCTGAAAATGAAAAATGGACATGTTAATTTTCAGTTGTTGATTTGTTTATGCGTTTGAAGTTACTTAATTAAGAATTTATAATGCTTAATTTGGAATTAATAATGTCCAGGTCTAGCACCAGGAGGAGCTGTTGTTGCTTCTGGACCAGGCGCAGCTGGAACAACCCTAGCACCAACCCCGTCTCCAGGGAACGATGGATCTTCCTTGACCCCGACCTCGTTCATCACCGTATTCAGCGCTTTATTCTTCGTATTGTTCTTGTCTCGTGTGTAAAAGATTCTGAGTCTTTCTCAGTAGCTTGGCTTTATGATATGCTTTAGGGTTATTTTAAGACGGAGCTTTGTGTCTTTGGTGTCTTCTGTTTTAGACAATGTTGGGTTTCTGTAGTAGTTTTTACTCTATTGATTTATGTTATTTTTCTGTCGCACATTGGTCTTTTTATATTAATTTCGTCTCTGTGTCCTCTTCTTTGGATGGCTTATTTATTGAAATTATCTCGAGAAAATGACACAATTTGATGGTCTATAAAATATACATTGGGTAAAACTGACAACTCCACAAAGCTTTTATAAATTGCCTAACGAAGAGAGAGAGATAGATGCCATTTTCATATGGTAAATTGACTAAATTCCCTAAAACAAATTATCTGCTTATTGTTTTTCTTATGGTATTACTGTATGTTTATAGTTGTTTCTAGCATTTATACAGCATATACAGCTTTTAATTTTTAAAAATCTTTATTTGGCTGCTTTTATTTTTATCAAAAACTTTGATCTTGGCTCTAAATTGAAATGATTAGTAGTGTACTATCTTTCTTTTTCCCAAAATTACTCCGTGTCCGCGTGAACGGATCCACGTTTCATATTTTTCCCACGTAAAATTTCAACTTTCAGATCGCGCGGACTTTCCAGCGCACGTTAGATCCCTCCCCTCACCAATACAAAAAAAAAAAAAAAAACTATAGTAATAATAAAATAAACAAATAACCAAAAATTAAAATAATTTTAAAAAGTATTGCTAACAATAATTACTTTCTCCTCTCTCTCTCTCTCTCTCTCTCTCTCCCCTCTCTCTCTCTCTCCCCTCTCGTTGTCTACCACCAACAAGGACGACGACCGTATCCGTCAGAGACGACGGCGATCGATTCTCGCCGTGTGGCTACTCATCTCTTCTCCGCCTTTGAATTGATTCCTTTCTTTCCAAGCTAAGAGAGAAGAACAAAGAAGCGATTGTTAATTTCGAATTAGCTGATCGCTAGGCTCGTGAGATTAGTTTTGATCTCGCCGAAAAAACTCCCGATCGCCTCCACTTTCCAGCGATTGGATTTTAGTAAGACACGTGGCATCTCTGTTTTTATTCTCCCTCTCTTGCCTCGCGATTAGGTTCGTGAAAAGCTTTTAAGCATTATTGTAAAGCCCCGAGATCTCGAGGCGGTTAGGTTTTCGAAGTGAGAGGTTTCACTGATAATAATAACAATCTTAGGGTTTAGGTTGAAATCTCCTTGGATCTGGTTTTGATTTTGATTTTGATTTCTCGCGTCTATGAGCTGAGGGCTTTAAATGTCGATGGGACGGTTTCTATCTCTCGTCCGAGGCGACTCTGCTGAGTCGCCTCGCGAGATTACTTCGCATAGTAATCTCGTGAGCGAGTCCGGTTCTAACGGCTGGTTGATTAGGTTTTTCGATTCGGCGTTCTTCTGTGAGTGGATTGCTGTTAGCTATCTGTATAAGCATCCTCACGCTGGTGTTAGGGATTACTTGTGCAATAGGATGTATACGCTTCCGTTGTCAGGCATCGAGAGTTATCTGTTTCAGATTTGTTACATGATGGTTCACAAGCCGAGTCCGTCGCTTGATAAGTTTGTGATTGATATCTGTGGTAAGTCGTTGAAGATTGCGTTGAAAGTGCATTGGTTTCTGTTGGCTGAGCTTGAGGATTCGGATGATAATGAAGGGATTAGTAGGATTCAGGAGAAGTGTCAGATTGCTGCTACTTTGATGGGTGAGTGGTCTCCTCTCATGCGTCCACAGAGTGAGGTTTCGACTCCTGGGGGTAAGAATCAGGTTTTGAGTAGGCTTTTGTCGTCGAAGCAGAAGCTCTTCTCGTTGAATTTGTCTCCGCCTTCGCAGAAGTCTTTGTCGTTCTCGCCTTCGCCAGGGGGGAATGTGCAGGATGATGGTGGTCAGGATGATAATAAGATTTTTAAGAAACTTATCCCGAGTCCTAAAGTTAGGGATGCTTTGATGTTTAGAAAGTCGGTTGATAAAGATGATGAGGAGAGTGAGAAGGAAGGATTCTTCAAGAGGCTTATGAGGGATAGCAAAGGTGACGGTGATGAACCGACATCTAACTCTGAGGGGTTCTTTAAGCGACTTATGAAAGACAAAGACAATAAATCAGAAGAAGAAGAGATAACAAATAGTTCTGAGGGGTTCTTTAAGAGGCTTTTAAGTAGTAAAGGAGAAAACGAGGAGCTGACGTCGAGTTCAGATGGGCTGTTTAAGAGATTGTTGCGAGACAATAAGGGCGATGAAGAGGAATTGAGTGCAAACTCAGAGAGTTTTTTCAAGAGGTTGTTACGGGAGAATAAAAACGAGGATGAGGAGTCAAATGCAAACTCAGAAGGGTTCTTCAAAAAACTATTCCGTGACAGCAAAAACGAGGAAGAGAAAGGTCCCAAAGCAATGGATGCTGAGGACAAAGAGGGGTTCCTTAAGAAACTTTTCAAGGATAAATCTGATGACAAAAGACAGGCTAATGAAAATAGCGAGACAAATGGAGCAGTGGTTGCTGATGATAAAGCTGGTGAAGAGGATGAAAGGGAGGGTTTCTTTAAAAAGTTATTTAAGGATAAGCCTGACGACAAGAAAGACATTGTGAAAGCTGACGACGGGAATGAAAGTGAGGGTGATGAATCTCCAGAGTTTTCTCTGTTCAAAAGATTATTCCGTATACATCCAGAAGATGCAAAACCTACTTCAGAAAATGAAAATACCAGCAATGGCATAGTTGAAAGCAGTCCTGGGACTGAGAACTTTTTCCGTAAATTGTTCAGAGATCGTGACCAGTCTGTTGAAGATTCTGAAATATTTGGATCAAAGAAACACAAAGAGGTTTGCTCTCATTTGATTTGCTTGTTATGTTTCTGTTACCTGCACTGTTTTGACATTCGCGTTTGTTCCGATCCATATCTACAGATTCATATGTCAAGATCCTTGTTGGATATAATCATATATCTCGACTTTTTGTGATATTTTCTTGACGCAAATGTTAGCTGAAACAGGGTGTTGTTGATTGCAATTGATTACTTATATATCCGCAAATTCTTTACTGTAATGTGTGCTTGATTTTGCTCATACCAATCTTTCTAAACGTAACCATTGCAGAAGCGACCAGGTTCACCTAGACAGCGGGATGATAATCCATCCGGTAAGCCCCCACTACCAAACAATACCGCATCACATTTCAGGAAAGGGGCCTACCATGAGTCGTTAGAGTTTGTACAAGCGTTATGTGAAACATCGTATGGTTTGGTAGATATATTTCCCATTGAAGATCGGAAGATTGCTCTTCGGGAGGTGATCATTTCCGCCCTGACTTTCCATATTTATGATTAAATTTGAAGTGTTAAATTATAACAACTGACTTTCTTCCGTTTGGTTTTAGTCTCTTGCAGAGATTAATTTTCATTTATCTGAAGCTGAAACCACCGGAGGTATTCTCTGAAATTAGATCTTAATGGATATCATTGGAGGTTTGCTTTAATTTTGTAACTCATATCTGTTGAGCGGGCATACATTATCTCAGTCACGTATGCTTTTCTCTGAGTATCTGGAAACATTTTGCCTGTTCTTTATTACTGAGATCTACATTATGTTTCTTGTTTTTAAAAAGTAGTATGTCCTTTGTATCAAATTTTGGCTGTTCACACAAGTTCCACGTACGGTAGATGTTGGTCATTGTATTGTCTGATTTTAGTACATATTGCTGCAGTTCCACTTTCTTTTCTTTTCCGCGCTCTTTTTCTCTAATCTCTATTATCATTTATCTTATATAGGATTTCCTTTACACTTTAGACAGTCATGTTGAATCTTTTGGGCATATACACATCAACTTTTGGAAGTTTTTTTTTTGGATTCCTGTATTTTTCGATCATCTACATTGATCCTGTTGTGGTGACTGTTTTTGTTATCATATACTAATTTTCTTTCCAATAACCTTCCAGGAATTTGTTTTCCAATGGGGAGAGGAGTCTATCGTGTTGTTCATATACCTGAAGACGAATCCATTCTTCTGAATTCCAGGGAGAAAGCGCCGTACATGATCTCTGTAGAAGTTTTGAAGGCAGAAACACCTAGGTAAAATTTTCTTTATCTACTAACTAGGAAGTTTACCTTCTTTTCTATGTCCCATTAGTAGTACCAAGTGTAAAACTATACATGATAATACCCACATTGTTCTTTTTGTTTTCGGGAGTTTGTTGTGGCAATGCTAAAGATAAATCTGTTAGGAAGTTACCTTCTTTTCTTGGTCGCGTAGAATCGTACCGAGTGTAAAACATACATGATAACACTCTCCCATTGCTCTATTTGTTTTTGGAATTTGTTGTGGCAGTGGTAAAGATACATCCAACTCCCAGAAGCTTTCTAAAGGGGGCATTCCATTGGCCAACGGGGACGCATTCTTGCAAAAGCCACCTCCATGGGCTTATCCACTGTGGACAACTCAGGAGGTTTATCGCAACAGTGCTGACAGAATGTCGCTATCCACTGCCCAAGCAATTGATCAAGCAATGACTCCCAAGGCAGAGGTGAAGGTGAAGCTTGTCAATGTGAGCCTCTCAGTGGAGAATTGTACAACAGCTCTTGAATCACTGAGTGATCCATTTGATGATGTTCTGTCTGTGGCCCCAAGAACTGGGCTGAACACTGATCTTGAATGGGTAAGGGTAGTCGTGACGGCTGACCCAGGACTTCGAATGGAAAGCATTCCTGATCCAGCAGTCCCACGTAAAAAGGAACACCGTCGTGTACCAAGTACTGTTGCCATGGAGGAAGTAAGGGTGAGTGCGTCTTAATTGATAACTTGTAGACGGCAATTACCTGTATGTTTTTTTTTTTTTCATTTGAATTCTATCTGGTACATGATGTCTCTTTTTAGTCGTTGAAGTAGTTTGTTTTTTTTTTTCTCGTCAACGTTGCTAAAATAACTCTGATGTGCATTTCATTTGATATTTTTGTGCTTGTACTTGTGTTTTCCTGTGCATTTCATTTACTTATTGCATGTCTTCTGTTTGGTGTTATTTCTACCCGTCAGTAATTTTTGATTTAATCACTTATGCAGGCTGCTGCAGCGAAGGGAGAGGCACCTCCAGGCCTTCCTCTCAAAGGGGCTGGTCAGGAGGATTCGTCAGATGCACAACCAAGGGTGAATGCGTGTTTAAAAGATCTTCCTATTCCGGGTCCTATTTTAAATGTTGAACGGTCTATTCATTTTTGTTTGTGATGTTCACCAGGCCAATGGTGGAATGTTAAAGGAAGGTG